TTGAAATCACCGTTGATTTTTGTTGACTTATGTATTTACGATAAAAGGAAAACTTTACGATAAAAGGATAAACCCATTGATCTTTGTAACCTCTTGCATCTTCCTCGGTCATCTCGGAACGCGCCTTTTTAAATGTCGATACGTATTTACTTTACTCTATCCGCAGTTTTCGTCATTTTTTCCATTGTCGAGTGCGGCCCAACGTCGCAATGCCACTTGCAGTTTCCGTAGCGAACGCGCCAGGCCTTCTCGTGCCAAGGAGTGCGGCATTCGTGTTCAAGAGACTGAAGTTCTTAAGGAGTGGATTACTGGATTACTATCATACTCATCACTGTTGAGCTGTCGAGACACCGTGACGTGAACCCTTCCATCTAAAGCATCGTTGTTCGAAACCATTCTTCCTATGGGAGCTGTACACCGAGATATACCACGCAGTGACAGTTGGAATGCAAATATCTAGCGGTTAGGCTTTATGCATGGCCTGAATCCTGCTGTTGCCACGGTTCTTTTCACTGATAAAGCTTGTCGATGAAGTCATCTAGTTAGGGCCAACACATTTTGACAAACTTCGAAGGCGGATGCGATTTGGTATGTGAGGAAGTTCACAGGCAAATGTGCGTCTAATGAGGAAAAGAGCACCGCTGTGAACCGATGGTGCGTTCGTTACTGAGAATGTGTCAGTTTTGGACCGAGTTTGCCTATGTTTTTTATAACTGTACTCGTTTTTAGGAATCGGCGAACGCCTTATGTTACCTTTCAGTGGCCCACCCAATAGTATGCGATTCCGCGTCGCAATGATGATTGCAGTTGATCAGCGCTAAAGACAGTTCTCGCGATTAAAGGCACGTTCCGCGATAAACTAAGGCTAGGTTCTCATGACCGTGCACGATGGTCAAGCAGGCAACGTCAGAGGCTCTACTTTTGTGGGTGCTCTGAGACTTAGGTTTGATCTAACTCTGTTATGACGGTGGTTCAGTGGATTGAGCTATGTGAGAGAGAAGCGAGAAGAGTACAACCTTTATCTAACCAACGCAGAAAGAACAGTGACTTGACTGCATGAATATGTCTGTTTGAGTTACTACAACTCTATGCCCCGCCCCCGACAGTTGGGGTCGAAGGGAGACGGCAAAGAGGATCGTAATTCGCCGCACCGCCATGCGCGGCGATGGGCGCGGCGTTTTCATAACTCGTTTTAACCTGTCGAATGGAGCACCGAACTTCATGTAGACCCCGTCATCGTAGACAGTCATTACTGTTTTCGTCCCCCCCCCCCACTTTTTGAATTTTTGGCCATTTCTAGTAGCCTGGAACCATCGTCCTTTGCAGACGAGACGTCGCACGCGACGCCCAGCAGCGCGGCGAATTACGATCCTCTTGTCACATACCCGGGGTCGAAGGGCATCTTGGAGACGATGATATCTATCCGCTTTTGAAAGTTGAAAAATAGCAAGCAATTAGAAGCAAAGAAAAACAAACATTGGGAAAAGAATACACTCTAGAGCACAGATGATCCGTTTCCGCTCGTATCGCAGACGAATCATCAATGTCTAGCCAACCCAATAAAAGCCTTGCAGCTCATCAGTGCGACAGCCTGCCTGTTGACGAACATCAGGACATGGGACTACATAGGGAAGGTGCTGAGCAAATAGGATAAAACACAGAATAAAGTTAAAGGGGTTAACATGCCAAAGTTCATGCTATCAAGTTGATGATGAATTATACGTAAAAATGAGTGAGTGATATAACACGATGTGAGTAGTAATACGTGTCAAAACGCAGCGCGCTCAGGTTTTAGGCCCATTGCGCCCGATAGGCCCATGCCGGCCTCCAGTGACCGTGTCGTTGTGAGACTGCCATTGCGCTCTCTCGCCCGTCGTTTTCTGGCCTCTCTCGTCTCTTATCAGTGTATCGCCGCCTTTCGCAATTCACAATTGTTGTCTTGACCACCTTGACGCTGTCGGTAGATCACGATCAAATTAAAATGAAAGGCGCTTTTTCCGGGCGCCTTTTCGTGGCTTCCCTGTCTTCTTCAGTAAGTCAACACACGCGGCAATTTTATTCTGCTTGATCATACTGTTATACCGTTAGTCGCGGCGGAGATTGCCTTTAAGCTGATCAGCGAAATGCTCCGTGTTAATTGAATCGAAACAATGCCTTACTCAGAATTCACTTCTCAGTATCTGTTAGTTTCATGAGGAAACTGACTGACAATTGGGAGATCCGATCGCTGAAGAAAATTTCTATTGCACTGGATGTTGGCGAACTTTCCCCCGAGCAGCTCCGAACCAGAACTCGGTACTGCTTTTCTTTGATTGTTCATACTAATGCAAATCCAAAAGCCTTTGTTTCTCGCATAGGTCGAATATTGTCGGTTGAAGAGCGACGATTCTTCATCACTTCATTCTTCTTTGCCGCGTTGTTCATACGCAAGCGCTAGCATAGTGCTTAATAGACGCGAAATCGTGAAAAACCTGCAGAAAGCCTTCATCTTCTTCATGACACACTAAGCATTTCGGACGAGTTACCCGTAGTCATCTTGCCAATGAACGCTACTAGATACTGCTGCATGTATACACTCAGATATCCATGCAGCACCGCAGCCGGTTCATACAAATTCCTTCGCTTCATAATTTATTTATCAAATGAAGCAATAGGAGCATCAAGAACAGTCATCCATTTGTGAGCGGGCGTTGGTAGGGCGTGGTGGGCGTTCAGGTCGGTATACTGTAGCTTAGTAGGACTCTTATAAGGGTGCCATCCTTGGGAAAGTGCTACACAGCGCCTGCTCAGGGTCGTGGAACTGCATCCTGCCAGGCGTGTTAATCCCACTCGTCCTAGGGATTTACTGCCTTTAATCTGTCTTTTCTTCATCTCATCAGAAAAGAAAGTGACAAAGTTCATAACCTGTCACAAAAAATAATTGATAGGTTGATAGATCAATGTAAAAACAATTTAGCTTTGGCGAGTTCAACTTAGTTTTTACTTCTTCTTGCCTGTGGAACAGACGATTGTTCAGGCCACTAACGTTCTCGCTGAACTTTCTTAAAGAAGTACGCCAGGTTGAGCAGTTAGAATGGGATTGCGAAATTGATGTGAAGCTAATCGACATTCCAGATATCTGCTCCAGATTTCTACCTACTAATTCTGACTTCGATGAATAAATCATGGATAAAGCACATAATAATAGTATGCGTATACAGTCATGATCAGGGCACATAATTAGTTGATATTTTGGTCTAGTGCGTACGATCCTTCCTCCCTAGTTCCCTCACGATCAAACTGTCAGCGGGGGGGGGGGCGGAAGCGCCTCAGAAAGCTCAGAAGGCAAATACACCTCTTTCTCTCCCGCCAGCGATCAAACAAAGAGTCTATCCCCTTGATTAGGAAATCCCCAGCGAATCATGTCATGATCCTGTAAACAACAGACGTGAGCGGGCTGGTTAGTGACGCAGCCAGGGCAGCCTTTCGCATCAACTGTAATTGCTCAGGATGACATTGTTGGTGGGAACAGGTCTCCCTGGCTGCGTTCCAATCCCCGCCCGTCACAACGCTGTATCGTTTGCACCCATCATGAGTGTGTGTAGATCGTCAGGGCAGCGATAAGCTTTGCGCACGCTTTCCTGTGTTTAAGGTTATAAGTTCAGGATGTCAGGGTGGGGAAAAACTCGAAATTAAGTTTCGACTAATTGTGCCGTATCGCTTGGTTCTCACAGTGTGCCCATGTGGATTTCATATAAGAAGGCGGCCCGGTAGATGTGGTGCAATTACGAGAGTGTGTAGCTCAGCGGAGCTGCCATCCGATGAGGGGGGGAAGCAAAAAAGACACATTGATCGAAAGGCCAATGCCCCTTGAACTATGGTATGTTTGCCCCTTGAACTTTCTCCAGTCCCTTTTACGAAACAATACAGGCGGACAAGTCGTTCGCAGACGTGGGCAAGTGCCAGGGGGATTGTATTTGGCGGGGCTTCCTACTTGTTTTAGTATGGTCGCTCCAACAACTTGTGGATAATGGGTTGCAGCCGCCAGCGTCTGCATACACTCAATATCTCAGAGATGGGGAGTCCGTGACTACGTACTTCATTCAAATGTGGCTGCAGCTGCGCTTGTGGAGGGATACTGCAGTTCCAGAACAGTTACAAAAATGACTTTGTCCAGTAAAAGTTAGGATAGCACCTTTATCAACTGGACATATACCACGGACAAGGCATCCTACGCCATGGTCGAGTAAAGTTCGTAGTCACGCTCACTGCATCGCTGGGATGTTGAGTGTAGTGGGTGGGCACTGACGTTATCTCGACTGGGTCGCGCCGTTGCTATGTACATATTTTTAGGCCACGAGAATAATGCAACTTCTATTATATATACTCGAAATCCCTGAGATCGGGTAGGCGTGGCTGCGTACTTGATTTTAAAATGGCGGCGGCCCAGGTTTTCGTGAGATATTGTCATTTTGGAGCAGTCGTAATCATGTCTACATCTAACACAGAACAAGATAGCAGTTGTTTCAAATTGAAGTATCCCACGAGAAACCCGTCCTGTGCCGTGCTCAGAAGCCACGCCTACTCCGTCTCAGGGATAAGGAATGTACTTGCGGACAGAAGTTCATGGATCACATCCGGCATCTGCACACCGAATGGACACAGCATGTCGTGGGTCTTCACTGGGAGCAATGGACGACATCCTGAGCACGTCCTAATGTTCTAGAAGATGTTTTTTTTCTGAGGTCTTCCTTCCCCCCCCCCCTGCGCAAACTTTCTTCTTCGGGACGACCTTATAGGACTACTTTCGCACAAATTTCCCTGTCTTAACTTATTACATGCTAACCTATAATGCTCTGCAAAGCCGTGTTCAAAACTCGAAGAGGAAGTGCAAATGTTTTATTACGAAGCTAAACCTTAACTTTCGATTTGGAAGGGCAAAAACACTATAAATACAACTGTCATCTTGTGCCGAGTTTACCCAAACGAAACAACAAAGTCGTCTTAGACTACCCTAACATTCAACTGCTCGTCTGACGGTCCACAACTGGTTTTCTTTTGCGCTTTGATATGGTGTCCTTGCACAGTGAGAGAGGTCTCGGGCGTTTGTTCTTGCGATAGTACAGATTACACGCACTAAAAATTTGAAATCACCGTTGATTTTTGTTGACTTATGTATTTACGATAAAAGGAAAACTTTACGATAAAAGGATAAACCCATTGATCTTTGTAAGCCTTTCGATGGTGCAGGGCTGGAGGGAGTCGACCATTCGTGGCCGATCGAACAGAAACCCTTCAGTCACCTTCATGGATCTTATTGTTACCATGCAGGAGGTGGGCGGTTCCGCAGTTGCAGTAGCGTATCACTTTCTCCGCTCAAAAGTGCACGAGAATGGAGCTGGGGGTAGCTATGCCCTAATGGCGACTTCCGATCTGCCTGTGCTGTCGCATGGCCACCCACACGCCTAACCATACCCAAAGGCCCTACTTGTCTGCGCTCTCTCACTTCTGGTTGTTCTCTACCTATGACTTGTTCGTTGCGGGATTTTTTGTCAAACGGCACACTACAGCAGTTACGAAACCATTGCATAGGGATGAAGGCTTCTCCTTGTAGTGCCTTCCTGCATTATGGGCCGCGTTCATGCAACAATCGTGCTGTCTGTTCTAATGAGAACATTCAAACAGTTTTTGGGACTTTCGTACATTTTTGATGGCATGGGGTAGCAGCACAAGCATTTTGCGTTCCAGTATGAGCTAGGTTTCCATTTTTACTGGGGACAGTTTTGCTACCGAAAAGGTCCTTTCAATGTGCAGGCGTTAAAAAGAGCGAGAGGGCGTATGAGGAGGCTTGTTCTAGATAGCAGCCAGGACAGCCATTCCCACATGCGGGCTTATGGTATCATTTGTGAGAAAGGCCGCTCTGGCCCCGCTCTGATCCACTTCACTCATGAGCCCTCTCGTTTTCAGTGGATAAGTGACGTGTTCCGCTTTTAGACTGCGCTAGCGTACGCTAGCGTTACGCCAGCGTTTCTCCAGCGTTTTGCTAGCGTTTGCAGCGGCAGGGGAGTAGAGACTATGTGGCCGTCAGAGACGCGGAATCGATGTGTATTGTAGAGACTGAGGGCGAGTGAGAGACGCGCAATCGATGTGTTTTGTACCCTCCAGCTCTCCCATAGTCTCTACTCCCCTGCCGCTGCAAACGCTAGCAAAACGCTGGTGAAACGCTGGAGAAACGCTTGGCGTAAGCTAGCGTACGCTAGCGTGACGCTGGGAACGCTAGATCGATATGCATCCTCTCCCCGGCACTGCCGCTGGCGTACGCTGGAAGCGCTACGCTACGCTGCCGCAAAGTATAAACGCAGCCTTACTGTGAGGAAAGTCACATGTACGTTGTGATAGAGAGCGCCTCACAGTGCTGGCAATGCGAATGAATACTACTTGCTATTTTTCCCTTACTTGCACTCAACTTCTCCTTGTTCATTACGCCTCCATAACGATGTGTTTGTTGTTTTACAGTTGACACATTGTGAATTTTCGTGACAGTTGACTGCCTTAATGTTTTGGGATAAACTACGAAATTATTTTGCGAGCAGTCATGTTTTAGTTTATAACATTGCAATCAGACGGGGCAGTAGCAGGGAGCGTGGAATGAGGACGCGCAAGGCTGCCTTACCCAACCAATGACGATCGCTCAGTGAACGGTTCAGGAAGAAACAAGCAGTGGTGGGAGCTGCGGCGGTGTGCTCATTCAATCATTGTTGGGACCACCCTGTATGATTGCGACGTTACAAACTGTACATACAGCCTTGTTCGCTGTGAACGCTGGAGCCTGTCAAAAAGCTCGGCTTCGGCACAAGGCCAGCTGTTCGCCACCAGTGGTTGAAACGGGCAATCAACAACAGTTGATGAAAAACGGGCTTGTGCCGCGCCTGATCCAGCCCCCTGGCACGGTCCAGCATCCTCAGCTTATACGACAGTGCATAATTTATCATGTGAAACACCTGCGCTCTTCTTCTGGTCTGAACTACAGTAGGATGGAATTGTCTGAGAAATATCGGTGCTGCTGTTGAATTCAAAATGTCTACAGCCGTAAAACAGTTTCCGCTGAACGATGGTCGTTCACAAGGGAAGAGGGTTTGATTGGGAACCATCTGAGACATGGCTTGGGGAAGGAAGCTACGATTATCATAAGAAAATAGAGTAGGAGTCGGTACGAGTGAGGGAATGCCTTGAGGAAGCAGTCCAAGGGTACCAAAAGCAGTACTGGTTGTTGACTGATAAGCCTGCAATATGTACAGTTCAGCGTGGAAAGAAAATTCGTTTATAGCAACAAGAACTTTGCAAACATACATTGGCGTAACAAGGTGCAGATGTAAGTGGACAGCAGCTACTCTCTTGAATGGTACTTAGATCTCGTGCTCGTCACACCATTCCCCATCTTTTCCCCACTGGTCTCTATGCAACGCTATCGGCGGTATGATTGCACAGGAGATACCCTGCGAGAGATTTGCTAGTATGTTCAGAGTATAATAATCCCTTGCTCATAAACTTCAGTTTTCTACTTCTTCATATTTGGCCCTTGTCGAAACGTCCGTACGACTTTTGCGAATGTCGCGTCTATGGTATTCGCCGCGGCTCTGACGCGCTAGCGGATAGAAGGTTCCAGATGCAGCTAGTGACGCAGAAACGACGACGACTATAGCCACACCCCAGTTCACATCGCGCTGCCGTTTTGACTGGCTGTTTTTTCGTCGTCCGTTCAGTGATGTCACGCCGTCGTCCACCGTGCCTGCAGTTGCTGTCGTTCATCTTTACCGAGCCGTGCAACGAGACGGAGCT